AGGTGGAACATAGAGGTGAGAAGCTTCCTGAAGGCTTAATGAAGTTGATAGCAGGGATTTTGAACCTACTGTTGGTTGCCCCTCTTATCTATACTACAGTATGATTTCTGTGGGATAAATACCTGTGTACCATTATGGAAGATGCCATGAACCTGAAGAAACTTTGGAATTACTTTTGTGTACTGCACTGCAGTCTTAAATCTGTCATGCCTTTCCTTTCAGCACTAGAAGCCGCAGTAAGTGGGTATTTTTTGTTGACCTTTTGTCGTAATCTGGAAAACTGACACTAGAAGACCAAAGAAACTTCTTCTAAGTGAAGATGATGAACCTTTGTTCCCAAGAGTCTTTTGTTATTTTGCGAAGGAAGTGTATCAATGGACTTCTTTTGCATACAAAGGTTGAACTTGCATGGTCGACTTGGTTGTCTAAACAGTTTTACTTAAAGCAGAGTATTAGGTCCAGCATTATGGAGCTTCTGCACATTGTTTTAATGCAGTTTGAAAGAAACCATGAACTGGTCAGTGTGAGGTCAAAACTGGAGGAGTCAAGACTTCTTTAAATATGTACTATCATTTGAAGGGACAGAAAGAAGAACATGTTAAAAGTGCTTGTGATTTATGATTGCTAGTGAGAATTCCGTGAAGCCCTGTGGTGCCTCAGATGGAACCATCAGTGCTAAAATTTACACAAAAGCTTACCTAAAAGTTATGTTTTGACAAGATGAGCTGATAATAAAGGTATAAAAGGAAACAGGAAAAGAAAGCTGGCTAGCTGTTTGGGGTTTTAGGGTTTTTTTAGCCTGTATGGCACTATCTCCTGCGCCACACTTCTGTGCCACACTAAAGAAATTATATGAATAGCATGAAAATAGCATATGTTTATATAAAAAAAGGACTTTAAAATGTGTGCAATGTGCTGTTGAAGTTATGTTGCAATAATTTTATAACATATTGTTTTTCATAAATCATATTTTATGAAAGGAGTAAAAGAGCACCTTTGAAATATGTGTAAAATCAGGTAACAGAAACTGAGTGGTGTTTGTGTTACACTGACTAGAATTAGGGTGTGCTACTTCAATATAATTTATCAGGAAGCATTGTTCAAGTCTTGTGTATGTATGGTACAGGTGACAAGACATAAATATATGTCCCTCCTTTTTTTTTATGGCATTATTTAGTAACTTGCCTATGTTGCCACTTTTGTACTCATCAGAAATGAAGCAAACTCTCTATCTGGAAAAGTAAACTTTTGTAGGTCAGATAAAGTTAACTGTCTACAGGTAAATGAAAAATGCTAAGTAGAGAATGACATCTTCCTCCCACTTCAAGGTTTTGTTTTGCTAATCCTAAATGGTTAAAGTATCTGCATCAGTCCCCTCGGTTAAAAGCTTCTGTACTAAGCACTTTCTTGTGGGTCATGTTTCTTTATAGGCTGTAAGCTGATTTCAGACTTTGCATCTGATTGCTTTGGAAATAATTACACAAACAAAATAATGGACTTAAGGAAATAAGTTATAGAAGGAAATGCAGTGCTTATTTAAAGAAATTATTTATGTAAAAGTAGTCAGAAAATAAAGATAGCTGTATTTTACCCAATATTTTGGTGCTGAAAGGTCTGGCAATGATTTTATGTTCTTCTGAAATGAGATACTGAGTCCTTGCTTCACTGGAAAGGAAAGCGAAGATACTGTAGGATAAAAATCATATGAAGGAAACTTTTATTTTCCCTGTACTGTACACCCTTTAGTAATTACCATGAGATTGTGAGTCACTGGCAGTAGAATAGATGTTGTTCCTCAATTGAACTTTAGATTTTACATGCCCTAACATAGATATATCATGAGAATATGAGCATCATGACTCTTGAGCCTGTAATGTATTGTAGTTTGAGGGCTGCTTAAGCAGGGATTGAAATACTTGCACAAACAGCTTAAGAGTAACATGTCTAATAACAAAGTACTCACTTTTTTTATAGTAAAGCTCCATATAGTCAGTTAGATTCCCTAAGTACAGACTAAGATGTGAAGGAAAAAAATTTTCCATGTGACCTGCTTTTAAAATGTCAGGGTGGGGATCAGGGGAAGGTACTAATTTAAAATGTCTGTGGTTTAACAGGTCTTGGCAATTGTTTTGACCATAATCTTGACAAAAGCAGCTGTATTACTTACTACCAAATAATGGTTCATGGGGGGCTTGGGGATGGGGGTGGGGCTGGGATGATGAACTGTGAGTTCTCCTTAGCCGTTTAATTAAAAAATAGGTAAAATATTCTTATATTTTGAAAAGAAAGAGAACCTTGGATGCTGTTTATATACTTTTAATGTTAAATGCTGCTTCAGGTAACATATAAGTACATAGCTTAAGTAATGCCTTGGAACAGACATTTTCTTTCTCTTCTGAGTGTTTTTAGCTTGGTTTCTATGGCAATGAAACCTATGCAGAGTGTCAGGCCTCTTCTTCTCTGTCTCCAAAAATAACTTCTAAATTTACCAGCCAGTGTAAGCCAAAATTAAATGTGAAGGGGGAGGCTCAAAGGTAGTCAGATTCCTACTGTTTTCAAGCAAGCAGGTGACTCCACAGAGGAGAGTCATTGCCCTGTGAAGACAAGGCAGAGTTGCTGCAAGACAAAAGGTTTTCAAGATGAGACTGGATATGGCACTTAGTGTCATGGTCTAGTAATGACTCGATGGGGTTGGACTCGATGATCTTTGAGGTCTTTTCCGGCTGATTCTATGATTTTGTGATTCTATGAAAATAACCACCAGTGTCTACCCTGATGGCATGGGCAAAATTTCCAGTTTACTGTGGCAAGTTCTGCTGCAGTCATGGCATTTTGTTATTTTGTTTTGGTATTTTTACTCCTGAGAGGAGGTGAAGTTCCAGCCTTGAGGAGAGACTAGGAGACCAGACACTTCAAGAAGAACTAACGAAAGCTGGTTTCTGTTCATAGTACAACTTAGGTTTATTATTCTAGCTGTAAACACTCAAGCCACTTAATCCAGTTCTTGTGTGTTTTGTTGGGGTTTTTTTATGAAAGGCATCTTGGGATTTTTCTTTAAGTGCTGCATTAAGATAGCCTTGATGCTTTCAAGAATTTCTGAAAGGCCTATATAATAGAAGAGAGGATAAATAGAAATACTTGGTTCCTACAAACTAAAGGCAACTTGAATGCATGAAAGGTCATAATGAGATTCTTTTGTATGGAGCCCTTAGGATGGATTTTTTCCATTTCCTAATTGCAGTTGCTATAACAATTGAGTGACTAGTTAACTTTTTCTTTGAAGGCAAGAAGTCTCATGTGCTTGGTCTTCTCCAGTCCTCATGTTAACTCCATCATTTACCGTCCACTGTTACTAAATTACAGATAATTTGGAGGCACATAAGTTTCAAGAAAGGATGTAGAAGACAAAATTTATTTCAGTGGTAATGGCAAAGTGGGTTTTTTTAGCAGTAATATGCCCTTTGATCAATGAGCTGCTTGTGGACCTCTGCATGTCTTCAGAATAGTGACAGCACATACTGTGGCTTTGTAGGGAAGAAGAGTTTCAGTGGTTGAAGTGAAGGGTGACAGGAGAGGAAGAATGGAGGTAGCAAACAGTTTTCTCCATTAGCTTGGCAATCCATTAACTTGGCTTTACTTATTCCCGTGCCTGTAGACCAGGTGGTTGTGGTGGAGTAGTCAGAGCTATGCACACATACCAAATGAGTGTCAGCGTACCAAGCATTAGTGTAAAAACCATGACAGTAATGTTTTGTTATTCGTCTCTTTGCTAATCAAATGGCAGTTTTATTTAAGAATGGGGTTTTTTTTGACTATGTCCATTGCAATACTAGATTTTTATTGTGAGTAATTGTACTTAATTTAGAACTATAGCATTTGTAGCTCTCAGGTTGTTTTCTGACCTGTTTGACCTTTACAGAGTTGAGTGGTTTGTATTCTCACTTCCTTTCTGTATCCCTAAATATATTAGGTTATTTCTAAGTGTTTTCATTTTCTTTGTCTTTAACTACTCTAAATGGCTATACATATTTCTCAGGTTACTACTTCTGGTTCCCTAATTAGCCATTAAATATAGTGTGTTAATAGAAACTGCCAATTTGAAGTTAGAGAATTCTTTTTTTAGTTACGTTCAACTTAATCTTATTTTCTGGATTTTGTATGTGGTGCTTCAGTTATTGGCTTCTAGACATCTTATCTTGTAGTTTATACTACTTTTTTTTTTAATATTCTTTCTTCTTCAAAGTTTGATTCATATTCTAAATACTGTCAAGTTAGCTGAAAGAATCAAAAATGCCTTCTCTAAGAGAAGATACTAGTTGCTGGATCTGAATTCCACAGTTTTAATCAACATTCTTGCTTTTCCAAATTCTTATTTCTGTGTATGCTTAACTAGACATGTCCTTTTAAAAGAAGTGCATTTTAATAAAACAAACAAACCAACCAGCAACTTAGTTTTATAGGGAAAGGATTGTTTCCAGACTGTAAAGGAAAGCAGAATGTTTTGAAAACTTTTGGAATTTGCATGGAGAAGCTCTTTGACAAGATGCAAAAATATGAGAATCCTAGTTGCAAAAGTAGAAATGTCTTAATTTTTGATTTATTCCAGATCAGTGCAAGAAATGATAGTATTTCTCACTGATTATAGTTTAAAAGGGGTTAGTACATTTTATGGATGTCTTGTTAAAATATCAATAAAATAGCATTTTCCCATATAGTAAGCATTAAAAACTCCAGAAATTTAAGACTCTCTGAACATCACTGATGAGAAGAAATCCACTTCTGTGGAAACAAAAACAAAAAAGGCAGTTAAGATTATCTTTAGCTGTTTGCTTAAAAGGATTTAGCTGGACAACCTAAAGTAGTCACTTGCTGCTTTGTAAATAATTTTTGTTTTGTTGTCGAGAGTAATCTCTCTTTTTTGAAGATGGTTCTGCAAGTATTAGGTTGTCATGGAAAGTATTCCCTGAATGCCTCTAAAATTTGTGTGTTTTTCTTCTAAGCTTCACAATGAGGATGACCCCCCAGAGTCTTCAGCAGCTGAACAGCCTTCAACGTCCACAGAGACTACGCAGACTCCCCAGACAGCAGCCTTATCTGAAGCAGATACTTCCCCTCCACCTTACTGTAGCATAGCTGTAGAAGCAGCTGCAACCTCAGGTATTTTTCTTACATAACAGCTTGTCAGGGAGGTGTGCATGAATCAGCACTTGATTCAGAGTGCTGTGGTGCTGCGGGATGGGTTTTTTCTGTGCACACAATTGAAGTAAAAAGCTGTGCTTCCACGTACAGCCCTTTGATTTGTTCAGAAGCAGCACACTTCTAGATTATACTGATTGTTCCAAATTGCTAGACTAAATGGATGTTCATTAATTAGTGTAATAGGTTTTATTTAAGTCTGCATGTAGTTCAGTTCCACATTTAATCTACATCTTTGAGTAGTGCTCCATTATTAGACCTCATTAGCAAGTCTCATTGCCTCTTTATTAAAAAAACCCAACAGAGCACTGATCTATCAAAACTTAAACTTCTTAAGGGTGTGCCATTGGTGAAAATACTGCCATGAAAAGGTTAAATTTGCTTTAAAGGCTCTTGGTAAAACTTCTCATGAAAAATAAGTAACATAGGTCTTTTTATCCATATATTCACTGCTTCCTTTCTCATGAGATTGTGACTTTTCTTTGGAATGTGCACGGCTTAACAGCAGGCAACATCCAAGTCCCTGTTTAAGAAAAGTTGCACGGATTTGCGTCCCCCATGTGCCAAATAAATATTTTAGAAGTAACTGCCAACCTAATTTTTTAACGCTGCTTAAAAGAGCAGTTTCCTGTCCCTTTTCTTCGAGATAGTGTTTGCAAGTATAATACATAGCTGTGCAGAATTATCCCTATATATAACATCCTTGTGTTGGTGTGCTGACAAGTCTGTTGACCATGTGACCTGTGCTAACAAATCTTTACCATGTAAACAATCTTGTTACAAGTCACTGCTGGCTGTAGGAGGAAGCTTAAGGCATATTTTAAGTAGATTTTATTATTTTTGTTAATAGTTCTATTCTATATGATGGTGTTTTACTATTTCAACATAGAAGAATGAAGTCTGGTCCATTTCGATAGAAGAATCATTTTTAGAAGAATTTGTTGAACCTGAAATCTTGGAAAAACTGATTTTCACGAAACAACTGGAGTTGGCAACAAGGCCATGCTAATAAGAATATAGCATGATTATTACTGGACTGAAGTTACAGATTGATATTGATACTTAAAAGCTTTGGGGTTTTGTTGAAATGTTTGTGTGCATGTCTTTTGTAGGATTTGATATAAAGCCTTTGGTTGAAATGCCTAGGGATGTAACTAAGCAAATATGATCTCTTTTGTGTATAAATCTGTTGGCTCTTTGCCAGCATATAATGTTAAGGTTTCTGGCTTCAGTAGCAACTAAAAGTACTATCAAGCTGTTCAGTATTTTTTGCAAAAATCCAAACTTACTAGAACTTGAAATACCAATATCATCAATTTCAGCCTCTGTAAAAACATGTACTTTAAAGGTAGATAATTATGTGCATTTAAAAGTTAATGTTCTTGACATTTTTCAAGCTTAAAAATACATAACTTCTTTATTTTGAACAGAAACAAACAATGAATTTTATCCCGTACCACCTCCATACAGTGTAGCTACCTCTCTTCCCACTTACGATGAAGCAGAGAAGGCCAAAGCTGCAGCCATGGCAGCTGCTGCAGCAGAAGTTGCCCAACGAGTAAGTTCTATAGTTCTGCTTTATGTCAACTTTGTGAAATGTTTTAGGTTAATCTAATTATTTATAACAATTGGGCCTGTATTATGACCTATTACTAAGATTACAGTGGGCTGATGATTTAAATATTTTGGATGCTTAGGTTTTGTACAGGTAGTGTGATTTAGTTGTAAAGCACTATGAAAAGCGTATCCTAGTCACTCTTTTCTGAGACATAGCTGCTGTATAAACAGCTTTAAAAGACAAATTTTACCCTGTTTTAACAGCTTATCTGGTATTTTGTCAACTTTTAATTAGGTATTCATTACTAATGCTATTTTGTAGAGTTATTGCTGATAGTGTTTCAGATGGTAAAAAAAAAAAAACAAAACCAAAAAACCACCAAAGACCTTTAGAGAGGAAAGGAGAGTTCCAAGAGTCTGAAAAGGATAAGACTCCACATCATGTAGGTCTTTTTTAAAAGGAAAGGTCCCTGTTGTTTGCTCCATGGAAACTTAAATACTGAACTGCAAAGAAATGTGTCAAGTACTTAAACCAAACAACCCCCCCCTCCTCCACCACAAGTAATAGTAAACAGTAAATTAAGTTGTAGGCATATATTCAGTGTTTATAGTTTTGTAAGACTTAACATTATGAAGAATACTGTCTTCAAAATAGAAAATTGATACCTGCAATTAGTGATAAATATTAGTTTTGTAAGCAGATTTCTTCTTTCAAGTTTTGGAATGTGGAAATTCTGCTGCTTGGTAGTATTGGCCCATACAAATTATTAACCCAATTTACCCAAATTAGGCTCCCAGTGCTTTCATGAAAAATCTCCTTGAGATCAAATGTGATTACATTTGATATACATTTAAAATCTTACTGACTGCAGTGTGCTTATAACTGGGGAAAAAACCCTTTGCTTGCCCACTGTGAGGCTGTTCCTTCTTTAACTGCTGCACAGTACTCAGTGCACAACACTCACTTTAAGGTATGCACAGCTAAAGTTCAAGTTGTTTTGTGTGACATCACCAGTGGAGGTGTCACACAAATCTGTTTTACTAAATGCAGTAGGGAACCACGGAGATTTGAATGGTTACTTGCCAAGTTTCAGCAATGAGGTGATGATCTCCAGTTGTAACCTTTTAAATGCTGTAACAGGAGCATGGATTCTGTGTAGTCTGTCTTTACTGCTCGTCATATAAGGAAAACATTTGCTGAAATGCTGGTCTGAATGAAACCCTCAATCTGAAATTACAAACTTAGAACATTAGCAACCCAAGCATTAACTTTTAGAGTACCTGTGATGCTGCTGACAGGACATGCAGCTATTGCAAGATTCTTGTTGCTTTTAACTTTTTATGTCTGGAAGCCTCTGAAGCCAAATTTCAGACATAGGGGCAATCTTCCTTGACAGCTGAGCCTGGAGTTCAGCCAATTTCATGTATAAAGCTAAGAAAAAAACCCAAAAACAAAACAAAAACCCAAACCAAGAAACCAAGTGTTTTTTTGTCTTGCCATTTTAAGCCTTTTTAACTTTGGAGAACTCTTTCTTAGGAGTTCAGGTCACTGTGCAAGAAACATCTTTTGCCCTGCCTCAGACAGTCTGCCTGGTTTTTGGCCAAATGACAAGTTTTTGCAAAGTGAGGTTCCTTGGTTGATACATACAGCTTCAAATTTAGTAAATGCGTGGAGACTGTCTTGCATGAATAAGTTTAGGCTGCTCATAGCTCTGAAGGGGATGGGACTGTTGTCAGATGTGTTGTTCCCAGAGAACATTCTCAAATGTTCTGTGTCGGAGTAGGATTACAGAACTAAAAGTAGATACACCTTATGGCTGCTCTTGATTGCTTTGATTCCAGTGAAAACACTGGAACTGAGAAATAGGAATTTCTGGTGTGCCCTGACGTAGTTTTATGATTCTTAGCCTTCAGGTAAAAGGGAAGGGTAAAGCCACTTGATTCAACTGTCGTCAATAGTAGGTGGAGGAAATAAAGACAATGACTGAGCCTCTGAATGAAGCCTATATGTTGTGGGAAGAGAAGTTTGGTTTTGTTTGAGCAAGGCTGTAACTGGCTCAAAATGAACAGGCAGGGATCAGAGGGGAGTCAAAATGAAAATGGCACGGATCAATGGAGAGCACTGGTATGGACAGAGTACTGAGCTATTTAACTCAGAAACAGAAGGGAAAAGGATAAATTGGGATGGGTGGAGAAAGGAACCCAGGTGGGGACAAGATGTACTGGGAAAGGAGCCTGAGGCTAATGTGTGAGAAAAGAGAAGTAGGGAGAAAGAAGGAATCTGGAGTTCAGAGGTCAGAGAGCTGGACACCGTGATGAAGCGAGAAATAAACTTTACGTAGTCTGCTTTGCTGGAACATACAGTAGAATTGACATTCAGGCACCATGTGCTTGCCACCACAAGAATTCCACTTGCTTATGAAAAACCAGTAGGAACATATCATTATTCCCCCATATCAGAGATTGACTAAAAATTTGTAGACTTATGGCAGTACTAAGTTAGTATCAGGTGTCTACACAGTGTACCTGAAAGCCACGTTCCGGCTGACTGTTGAGAGCTCCAGTTAGATAGTATTTCTGCTCAGTTTGCTTCTGTGGTTTTGTTCCCTCATTCTTTTTTTTTTTTTTTAGCAAACGCTTACACATACAAGTTGTATTAAAGCAGCACTATTAAGCTTACCAGGTTAAGATTTGGGGAAAAACTAGGAAATGCTGAAGCTGAGTTCCAGTTTTGTAGATGATATTAAAATTGTGTCAGTGCAGTATTAATTAATGCCATTTTAATTACCCTACCACGTGATAGTGCCACAAAATCCCTGCCTTATTTAATACCTCTGATGGATTTACACTGGGATGGACTAAGATTGTGTAATAAGACTCTTAATCTGACAGATGGCTATAATAAAAAGTGTCTTGTTAGGGCTAGGGTGCTGATTTGCCATTTTTAGGGGAAGGATTTAGTTCTGAATACCCATGGAAGAACAGATAAGTGACCTAACTACATAGCAGTGCAAAGTTTGATTGTTTTCTCACTTTCACTGTCTTGGAGTGACAAGCAGTGACAATTGCTGACAGTATCTGACTTGTGTGCTACACACTTTGCAAAGCATACACAATTGATATAACATGTAGATTTTTTAGTTTCTATTTTCAGCCTTGTGAAATTAGTGCTCTCAAAAATGTGAGCTCTGCTGTGTTCTGTGCCTCTAGTTTCTTCCTTGTAAACTGAAGATATATTGCATCTTTACTGCAATAGTGTGAAGAGTTGGAAAAAGTTAAATGTCCTTATGTTACCTTGAGTGATACACGAAGCTGTTCATTTTCATGGTATAGTCCAAAGTGTGCGGTGAAGAGGGTTACAAATGTACTCATTGAGCCAAAGAGGAAAAAGGGCAGCACATTTAATAAACAGCTTTCATATTTTTTCCCCCAAATCATGCAGGGATCTTAAAAATAACTTAATGTGTGCATATTAAATACTTTGTCATAGTCCCTCCATCCACAGATAAAATGAACAATCTAAACTTAAATTTCAGTATTTGTTTTTATAGTTCTTTGTGTAGCTTATCTTACAGAAATAGGCTGTGTATAAACCTGTATTTCTTTCAAATGCTCCCAGATATCTAACTGTATCAAAGAAATTGTTCCAGCCCTGTGTCATCAGTGGTGATAGCATTAGTTGTTCTGACTTTTTTCCTTTTCAATTCTGAAGGTCAGTTTTGAAAGGTCAATTTAAATGGACAAAAATATTGCTAACAGATAAATGACTTGTTTGTATGTTGCAATGAATGGCTTTTACTTAATGCTTTTCAGTTGCATTTGTCTTATGTTTTTCTGTTTTTACATGCTTAGCACGCCCAGTTTAGGGAATCTAGGAGTCTGTTTGATGAAATATTCCTCAGTCGTCCAGAGGTATGGTATAGTTCTCTCTAGTTTAGACTTTGCTATGAATTTTCCTGCTGGCAAACAAATGCTTCTGGGGTTCATTGTACCTTTTTTCCCCTCCCCACTATTATTTTCTCCATACTGTTTTGTATGCTGAAGGTATCATTTATGGGGTTTATTAAGTAATTTGACCCTTTTCTCAGAAGTTTTTCCTCTGTAAATCCACAGCATTGGAAAGAATTATATCAGTTTAGTGATTCTTTACTTGATTAAAGGTTGCTGTCTCATTATATGCCATGCTAGAGTTCAATTTCAAAGAAGTTGAAAAGCATTGAGGAGAAAAAGTCTTCCTCTTTCAGAATACTACAGAGGGCACTGTAGTTTCAGGGGAGTTAATAGATTTGACCTCAATAGATACTGTGTGCCATTGTTCTTTTGTTTAGAGAAATTATTCTGTGTGACATGACATTTATGTTGGTAACATATTTTTCTGTTTAGATGTTTCTCTTGTCATAGGAGCAGTACATTTTCTGTGCATACAGATGTCTGCTTATTTAGAAAGCAAGAAATACTGTCCATATTCCTTAACTTGGCTAAATTTTTAAAAAACTAGTATGAGCTATTGAAACTGTGTTACATATCTTACAGATTTCTGTGTTGCATTACATTCTTCACATTAAAAAGAAAAACGTATGTAGTCACATTGATAAAAATGTCACTAACTAATAGAAGTATTATATGAAATTATGTTTAGCTCTAAGCATCAGCAGAGAGGGCAGTCATTTTTCATTACCTATTTTCATTCTGCAGTGCATGGTGGCAAACAATGACATTTTGAAGAAAGACTGGGACAGTTGACACCAGCTAGATCAAATGAGAGTTGTGTGGAAGACAGCCAGTATTAGTGGGACTTGAGCAGTGGTCAGTTAGTGTTTTCTGTCTGCAGGACTGCTCGATAAAGCCCTTATAATCCTAAATGATGTAGATATAGGCTGTATGTGACTTAAGCACAGGAAAGTATTTAATTTCTTAAACATTCTGGTAGTTTTCAGTTTTTTAAGACAGTAGACACAACACGGTTTAATATTAGCTTTTGACATGGAGTGTGATAAATTACAACTTGTTCACACTTAATACAACAGTGCCTACTTGCAAATGTCTGCTCTCATGTTGCTGTTGACCTGTTTCTCATGTGTGTAAGCCATAGAGAAGCCTGTACTTATAGAGGAACCTGCTAAACTTGTTACTGTAGTTGAGCAAAATTGTATTTTGTCTGAGGCAACTTTTTACATGGAGCATAATTCACTAATTGTTTGGAAATGCCAGTATGAAGTACAGTAGTTAGCAGACAGTTTTAAAGAAATAAATCCAAAATTAGTGTATATAGGTTCTTGTAGACCTTGTAAAATTAAAATTGAAAATAATATTTGTTCCCCTGGCTTAAAAAAAGCAACTTTTGTGTCATGCATTTCAGAGATAAACACATTCAAGTGCAGATCTTAATTTAATGCATTTTCAGCCCTTCCTTCCCCCCCCAGCCCCATCAGTCTTGTAGCTGACGCAAACTTAGACTAAATAAACTAACTCTTTAAGGTGACCATTTAGGGACATCTAAAATTATGTAGAGTTGAATTATAGCCCCTTAAGATTGTTGCTTGATTAGTATTTTGTGCTTCCCTTGGAATTGTATATGTGAATAGCAGTGTTTCTAAAATAAGTTACCTGATACAGTGTCTTGTTTAATTGATCCGAAATACAGAGCACAGCTGGAATTTCAGGGCCATGGTACTAAGGGTACAGCTGTCTGCTTTGAGTTGGTACAGGTCTTTCTTGCACATTTTTAACCTAATTGCCATACCCCAGTAAAGTATTTTGCTCTGTTGACAAAGGTGAAGATGTGAATCACATGACAGAGCTTTAGAGCACTCTGATTGTTTAATGCCCTTTTAGTTATGAACATTATTTCAGTAGTAAGTGCTTGTGGGTGAAACAGCCAAGTAAATTTCACTTGAACTGATCTCCCTTGATTTCATCTGTTTTTATAGGTAATTTCTTATCTCAGTCCTAATACATTATGTTAATTGGAGCAAAAAATAGGAAGAGAATGTTATTCATGCTTCTGTTTAGACCATATTACTGCTGCTGCTGACAGCATTATTTAACCTGTGTCATCCTGCGTTGTTTTGATGTTACTCATTTAAGTATAAAAATGGTGTTTAATTGGTATTAGTTTTCATCAGGCTGTCTTTAGTAAGTGCTGTCATCGTGAAAGCTTTTATGTTTGCCAGTCTACAGGTGGAGCAATGTTTTACCTGTGAATAGAACTGCATATGTACATCTGCCAAGTTCTGTTGAAAATCGAGTCCTGATAAAACACAGCAAACTCTTACTTTCAGTATTTTAAGGTCCAGGATTTTTACACGATGGGAGAAATCTTTGGATCGTTTTGACTGACATGTCTGTTCACTTTTGTTTGACTTCAAGTCTGGTGCCTTTTGAGCTTGCAGGACTTTTAGACACTTCTAATGTTCTCGCGCCCTCTAGTGACTCTGGAGGTTTTCTTTGCCTTGCATCTGTTTTTCTGTGGGTTGTAAAATTGGTTAGTGCAGTGTTGTTGCATCAGCAATTTATTTTAAGACACTAACCTTTCCCTAAAACTTTATTTTATATTTTGGGAAGCATTAGAAGACTTTTCTGGCAGGGAAAAATATAGAGCGTACTATGTGATGTCATTTCAAAAAAATAGCTCGGCTACCTATCAAGATTGTTACACTAAAAAGGGATATTTATGTTGGTTTTGATTGTCAAAGTACTAATCTGAACTAATTTTTGGCTTCATTTAAGATGAATAGGCAGTATGTACATATCTTCTACAGCAACTTTTACAGAAAATTTGGGCTCTGTCAATATAAGCAACAAATAAGACTTGTTTTATAGTTATAAATTATTTTTCTCTTAAACTTCCTTGGTGTGGACATGTTACAGAAATGTCAATTTTCTTCTAGCTTTAGAAACATGATTAATACTTTATCCTGTAGATAGTTATTCTAAACTTTTCACTAAATTATCACTAACCTGTAAATCCAGGAAGAAGAGTATCCACCACGGGATGATTTCAGTGATGCAGATCAGCTTAGAGTGGGCAATGATGGCATCTTCATGTTGGCATTTTTCAGTAAGTTATCTTGTATCCCAGACCTACTGAGGTATATCTTAATTGTACCTTTTTTCCTATGGAATATAAAAGATAGCTGTGATAAATTGCATTAATGTACTGTAATGAATGGATTTTCCTACCTGTGCACAAATATAAACACTTCCTGTTCCAGATCTAGCAAATATGTTGCAATTGTTTGTTTTTTTTTTTTTTTGTGGCATCTGTCACAGATAAAGGGGCAAAGCAAAATCATAGTAAATGCTTGGAGGCATATCAAGGCTGCACTGTTATGTATGAATTGGGAAATTCTATCATCTTCCAGTTGGACCACCAACTTGAATTAAAGGCCAGATCACAGAAATCCAGCAATTGATTTGTAACTAGAAAAAAAATTGAGAGATGATGTACTGCATAAAAGTTGGTGATGTTAACATAGTGAATTAAACAGCCATGGGTGGATTTTTGGAACAAATCCAACCATATTCACTTTTAGGTTGAACTAACCACTACTATATAATAATGTACTGTCTTCAGGTAACCTCTGATTGCAACCATCCCTACTGTAATTCTTGGTCATGTACTGTGTGTGCACACTATGCATGTCTTGGAACTTAGGTACTGCATTAAGCAAAGTTAGACTTAGCTACTGTAAGTTATTTCTAGAAAGCAGCTGCTTCCTGTTTGACAATTGCATATTTCTTTCTAATTTCTGAGGGTATTTTCACTTTCTGAAATAAATGTTTTGGAACCTGGATGGAAGCTTGGTGTTGGGGATATATCTGTTCTTTTTAGAATTCATTAGGATGAAAGCTGATTGATTATCCACTGAAATCTCCTTTGTCTTTCAACCTGCATCTCATATTAGTTCTTTTTTCCTGTAATGTCTTTCACAGTCTTTTTATTTAACTGTTACACATGCAGGTTACAAACCTTTTACAGAAGTGGTTTTTTCCATGTTAGCATACAATGTACTAGGACGATGTGGTGTTAACATTTTGGGATAAAAATACATGTCTTCCTCACATGGCAAATCTATAAATGCATGTAACAAAGTAAGTTTTGTAGTCTGACTTCTTTCTGTAGTTAGACCATAGAAAGGGTATATATTCTCAGGGGCAAAGGAAGGTATGACTTAATTTTTTTTCCCCTTTATCTCCTTCTCCTTCCCTACATGCTATAAAGTTTTTGTATTTAATCTGTTTTGGTTCTGTATTGTGTGAATTTGTTCTTGCTTTTAAATCCTTTCAAGCCTTCATCAACACTGCATTTGGAGGTCTCATGGATTGTTGGTTCTAATATGTCTTAAGTCCTTGAAGTCACAGTTGTCCATAACTGCATGCCCAGAACCTTGTGTCAACCTTGAAGAACATAGACGTTTACTTGGATAAGCTGGCAACTTTCTCTTCAAATAAATGTTTAGCTGAGTCTGACCACAAACAGCACTACCTTTACATGTTTGACAAAAATACTCTCTATATCATCATGACTTTTCTTGATTATTCTGAGACTGTTAATGCAAACTGTGCTCATGTATGAAGGAAATGCGTAAAATGAATGCTCGCACATTTTAAGGTATTTCTGCAAGTGGATGCTTGATTGGGATCTGTGTTGGTCATTATGGATACTGGTTACATATAGAAATTGATAAACTTGTTGTTTGTGCTCACAGTATGAGTTCACAAAAACTCATAGCATTTATAGACCTGCAATATTAATTCTCAGTAGTTTTTATTAGGGAGTTGCAGAATTAAATGAAAAATGAGCTTAACATAAAGAGGGTATCTTGTAAATAGGCGGTGATATATTCACATCCCTCCAATAAGGAGATAAAAGTCTCCATAAAATTGATGTATATACATTTAAGAGTCAGGAATTAAAATGAAATTTATGGTAAGGCTATCTTTTAGGGGTTTTTTCAGGGTGGGATATGTTTGAACACTGCAAGTAGATATCTCAGAGCGCCTCAAATAACTTTCCTCACTAAGTTAAAATGTACAGCTGTATCAGGAACTGCTCTCTAGTGAGAGAAGCATTAGTGAATGGCTTGTTCTGGGTGTGCTGACCCATCTCCTTCCCTGACTGTCAAGTACAGACTTGGTAGAAGGGTCTTGGGGATGGGATGGGGGGTGAGATGCCTTTCTTTTAAAAAGATCAGTAAGCCAGCTTTCTTTAATTTCATTTTCTTCAACTGAAGTATAACAAAATAAACTTTTCTCTGAACTTACCTGCATGTTGCGCTTAGTGATCTGTAGCCACCATCTAGTGGTAGCTGCCGAAGTTGTATAAAATTGCTGTCTCTAGGCCCTCTAGTGGCCAGATCCGTTTGTTTGGGGGTTCAGTTTGGTTTAGGAGCTTGCTGCATGGGAGTTACAGACCTGTTTCCCATCTAAGTTGTCAAGTACTGTTCTGTTTAGCATAGCTAAACAGAATGAGACAATATATGCTAAAGAATAAAAGTCCTCTGAATGAGCAGGTGGGATTTTTTTTTCTTGATTCAGAAACTTGGTGGAAAAATTTGGAAAACTACCTATTTTATTTCTGATACGTGGCAAAATCATGTTTTAATAAATTGTTGTGTCTCGTGAAATTTTGTTATTATGTTGGTGAGCAAAGAATCTGCTCTCTAATGGTCAGGGTTGGTGTTTGTTGATTTCTGGTTTTGAGGTAAATGAATATATTCACTCATATATTGCTGTGAATGTAAAAAAAAAAAAACCAAAGAATTTGCTATCGGACCACTTCATCTGTTTTTTCTATTGCATATTTTTAAGTCAGGTATGCCTTATACAGAATAGTAGAAACATTCCATAATGCCAGAGGAAAATATTAATAAGTGACTTTCTCAGGGTAATTTCTTTTTTGTACATACAGCAGAAGGGAGGAACTTCTGAGCTGTTTCTTTCCATTTTGAACACAGCCATAATTGTGACAGAGCAAGTCACTGTCATGACCAAAGGGTTTGGCTTTCATGCTTAATCTGCCTATAGTGCAAGTCTTTTGAATTATGTCTGATAGACTCATCCTGGTACGTTATCTGAAGGAGGTTGTTTTGGACCTGTTATACAGGTTTCCCTGAGTCATTCAAGAGAAGCTGAGGGGGAAGTGATTCGACTGAAATAACTAATGTTGAAAGGAGATAAAGGAACTATTTTGTGAGTGCTTATTTCTCTCTGGTTATCAGAGGAGCCTGGCTGACCTTCATACACCAACACCTAACTTCTTTCTTACTGCAGAAGAAATTTGACTTGCATAGTTTCTCCAAACACACTGAATATAATGCAGAATAATTGGAATGAGGAATTAGAATCTATATGGGCATGAGAAAAATTGCCAACAAGGGTAGTGAAGCAGTAGAAATAAATTGCTAGGAAATATTTTGAACATTAATCAACAGGAAAAAAAATGTTGATCCATGGAAGCTGACAGCAAATGCTTCTAATGATCATCATCAGACTTAAGGTGAACCCTCAGAAAGGAGCAGCGATGTGTCCCAGTTCAAGAGTGGAATGAATAATTTCTAGTGGCACATGAAGATCTAGAGAGTATTATTTATTTATTGCAGTATTCTTAGTAAGACTAGGTCAGGTATTAAGCTCCTTGGTATTTGCTGTATATTGTAAGTAATTGGACAAACAAATTGTGGAATAAAGACTATAACTGAGCATGGTGGCTTTTTGTATACATAGTTGCCATTGTAATTGTATCACGGGTGTGATACAGACCAGTTTTGCTGGTTTCTTTTCATGATACTGAATATAAACTCAGGTGATTAATGTGGAGCTGTGGAAAGCTAAGTAAAAAAGAACAGCAAGTGAAGTGCAAGAACAGCTGAGGAAAAAGCACTTGATGTAGTATGCTTGTCATTATTTTCATCTCCTGATGTATTGCAATACATATAACTCAGCTTTTGTACTCTGTATTTTGGCTGGAAATATCATGCTGAAAACATAAAAGGAAATTACAGCATAAATGTGAGCACTGCTTTTGGGTATCAAGAAGACTTTTGATTAAAAAAGGCCTTCAGTCCAACCTTCCTGCTCCTCCCAAAACTCAACTTCTTACCTGTGTTTCAATATGATGTTTGTTGTCATGAGGAAGGACAGCATCAGTTGAAAGTTGGGCTAGAGTAGGAATGTAAACACTAGTGATCCCTGGGATAGGAAACAGTTCTTGTTGCAGAGTGGTTTGTCTTGAAGCAGGCATCTAGAAGATACACACAGAACCTGGCTGCATGAAGAGGATAGACCAACAAGAGTCAAGAATGCTTTTGTTTAGTTAAAGCCATGATGTGGTTATAGAGGCTGATGAGATTTTTAGGAATGGCTTTCCTTATGATGTACATTGTCTGTGTGGTAATGTCATGGGAAGCTGAAGTGGTATGAAGGATAAGGTCATTTCTTTAACAGCTGAGCAGCATTATTTGCATTTCACAGAGTGGATACAGGCAAACAGTGGAGGATAGCAATTGTCACAGCAAGGAACTCGTACAACAACTTAGTTGTCTCTGGTTGACAGAGAAGGAAATTGGTAACTCTAGAGGAGTTAGTAGATACTTGCTTTTACTTGTCTGTCCCCTCACCAGTCTATTTTCTCTCTCTGCTTCATGGGGGAACTTGTGCTGTGGCTTCTCTGTGGCAAAATAGGGATGGAAAATATGAACAACCTTCATTACAATAATTAGTTGAGACAGGAATTACATGGGATTTAAATGTGGTAACTCTTATCAGATGCAGTATAAGCCATAAAGCTCAGAGAACTTGCATGGCTGGCAGAAGATACACATGGAAATCATGATGGAAAAAGATATACAGATAGGTGAATGAGGCTGGTCTTGATGTAGAGAAAAGCATTTGGAAGGAATTGCAGTCTGCTCAAAAGCTGGAGATACATTTCAGAAAGCAAAGCAAATAATGTATTTTTTAACCAGAATGAAACAAGGAAGATGATTTTCAGAGTAGCAATAGGACATGGGATGTGAGAGAGAAGCTGTGAGAAAGATTGAAAATGTGTAGACGTTATTGTTCCCAATCTTAAGTTTGTTCCAGTGATGCAACACCAAAGCAGCACTGGAAGAATCTTCCCAATACTTTGCCTAGATTTTATGGAGGTGACAGTAACAGGTTCCTTATACTGCTGAAGATGGGGAATTTTGCTTAGGCCCTCACCGTGCAATTTTCTAGCAGATGGTTTCAGGTGAAAACTTAAATAATGAGATTTTGCTTTTGTATATAGTTCAGTTTTATTGGGATGTGTGAACTTGCTTAGTTTACAACTTCTTTATGGTTTATGCCTTTCCTGCTTGCATTGTCTGCTTGTCTAACTTGATGGAACGGCACAGTGATTAAAGGGTAAAAGACCAGACTTAGTGTGAACAACACTAGAATGTGCTGATGCATTTTCTTTCAAGAGTTAGGCAAATAACACAGTGTTAAATATCCATCTAATACTTATCCAGTGACTGTGGATTCTGTTTTGAATATTCCTTTATTCCAAGTTGAAAGGAGGGTGAAATTGATAGTGTTCAACATTGATTACAAATAGAAAGTTTTTTCCTCTCCTATATTTATGATTGGGAAATCTCTAATTTTTATTACGCGTGCACAAATTAGTTCAGTTACCTATTAATATTATGCATACTCTGGAAATTCCTCTAGTCCACATAGTCCATTAGAAACATGTCTGTCTTCTGCCCTGTTTAGCATACCTGTCTTTGGAGCCATAATCAGTCACCCTTTGTAGCTTGAGTAGTAGGGAGAAAGGGAGAGAGCTGTAAGCTCTAGTGCTGAGACAGGAACAGGCAGTTGTGTAACTCTCTTCTGAAGTCTGTTACTCTGGAAAGTATGGTGGCTTTGAAGAGCTTGCTTAAAATAGGGAAGTCCTCTTTTCAAAACAGCATGTCTAGACTTTCTCAAGTTTAAATGCTTTTTCTGGGTTTTGGAAAGATAGGTAAGTGTTAGGGTAGCAGTGTTAGTCTGTAGTTTTTATATAACAGAAATGCAGGCTCTTTTTCTTTTTCCTTTTTTTTCTCTCTGCATGTGCCCGTTAGGATCAGAATTTATTCAAAATGGTTGTGGGTCTTGGTTTGTTTTGGGTTTTTTTCTGTTTGGGGGTTTTGTTTTCTAAGATCAGTAATTAGGATAAAAGTAAGAATTCTGGTTGCCACCATCTATTACTTACGGCTCTAATCAAAGCAAGATGTTTTCTCACTTGTCCTAAATGACTATGTTGATGTGAAGTCTTTCAAAACTTCTCTTGGAACTTCAGTTTCTTTTCAGTTCATGGAATCTCACTGCAGTTTTGCAGACTAATTTTGCATTTGTGGGCGAACCATTGCTTCTTTGTGAAGGTTGTTGGAGGATTTATGAAAAGATTTTAAAATATTTTTGAGAACGGTTGTTTCTAGATAATGCTTTAAAATTTTACTCTAATTAAAGTAAACTCCTGTGCAATTTTCTGTTCCTAGTGTTTTGCTATAAGCATTCAAACTTGAGCTGAAAAGACAGACTTTTTTTCCTGTGGTGATCTGAATTTTGTGTGTTTTTTTCCCTAAGTTTGGGGATTTAAAACATTAAGGATTTGTGTGTGTGTGTGTGTGTTTGCTTTTGTTTGTTTTGCTTTTGTCTTGCCTCTTATTTTTGTGTTTACTGTGGAGTTCCCTAATGTTTTCAATTTTCCACCCTCTTGTCCTCTCCAGAACTCCTGAATTGTTTGCTTCCACCAAATCCACCAGCCCTTCTGTTTGGTGGTTTTCTTTTCAAATGCCCTCACCTACACCCAAAGCTGGGACATTACCCTAATCGGTACCCTAATCGGGAATTCCCACACTCTGACATAATGAGCTCTACTGTGGAGTTCCCTAATGTTTTCAATTTTCCACCCTCTTGTCCTCTCCAGAACTCCTGAATTGTTTGCTTCCACCAAATCCACCAGCCCTTCTGTTTGGTGGTTTTCTTTTCAAATGCCCTCACCTACACCCAAAGCTGGGACATTACCCTAATCGGTACCCTAATCGGGAATTCCCACACTCTGACATAATGAGCTCAAACTGAAGTCGATACAGATACAGACGATGACGTCGATTGCCAAGTACATACACAGATACGAAACTTTAAATCTTTAAACTACAGGGAGTTGTGTGAAAGTGTTAATTGAAGTAATAGTGCTAGTTCTGCTCAATGTTCTTTTTCTTCCTTGATTTCTTAAGCTTCTGTGTAAAACTTCCAAAGCTTCTTATGTCTTATGCTTGAATATAGTTCTAAAACAGGAGAGAGTAACCCATGAAGTATCAGCTTCTCAACTTATCTTCATTTCTACACTATGTTTACAGTGCAAGAGCAGATACTTTTCTTCTGTTCAATCCGAACTGGATAATGCAGAATATGCAGCCTTGAAAAATGCACATATGAGTGCATATAACTATATTTTTGTTTATAAAAGTGTACAAGTTTTTGGGATTTTTGATCCAAATCTTGTATGTTAGGCCTCTGTTTGAATTCATCCTTCATGTTTAGTGTAATCTGGTTAGGTTTCTATTGCAATGTAATACTTTCTTTTACACTGGAATTGTCTCTTGTTTAAAGTAGTAGGTTCCAGCCTGTTTACCATTTGCTTTGTCATTAAGTGACTATCCCATGGGGAATGTCTGGGTTCAAAGTCAATCTCTGAAAGCCTGAATTACCGGAAGGGAATTAACTGACTGTGTAAGCATGTCCTTAGCAGTTTAAAAGTGAAATTACTGTTAAGTCTGTTTGCTTAGCTATACAGATTAACAGAAGCTACTGTTTCTTTTATTTTATAGTGGCGTTTATTTTCAACTGGATTGGATTTTGTTTATCCTTCTGTATAACAAATACCATAGCTGGAAGGTATGGTGCAATCTGTGGATTTGGTCTCTCCCTGATCAAATGGATTCTCATTGTACGGGTATGTTTCTTGATTCACACTATACAGACTGTGTAAAACAAAAACATAACAATTTATTTAAGGATATATAATAATGGAATTAAAAATCAGTATATTAAGTTCTAGTGCTTAACAGAGAGACTAAATTTTTCCTAACTTCCTCTTTCATAGAGAATTTACTTGCTATATGTTCATATATCCTTACTAATGATGAAGCTTAATCTATTTTTACCTGACAGCATTTTATGTTCACATTTCCACTAAAATAAATGCGGAATGACTCATTCTTTGCACAAATATTTAAAAGTACAGAAGAAGTGGAGCAAGTACTTAAAATATCACTGGGTTTATGGTGTCCTATATGAAAGATTTATAAATGTCTTGGCCTGTTGGGAAGGGAATGTCAGAAAACATTTCTTCCTTGTATCTGATTCTTTTATTCCTTGTAAGATACATACTGAATCAAGGCAAAATTGAGTATGAAGTTAGTCACGTTTTTACCATCTTTCCATGATTTCATGATATTTTCACTGCAAGACTAGATACTTTTCAGAAAGGTATGTAAGTCATATAGAAGTTACTTAGCTGACTGTGTGGGTGCTAGATGAAACGTAATTTCTGGACTTGAATTCTACATAGCTATGAGGCACAACATTTAAAATCTCATCCCTTTTAATGAAGAAAGAGGTCTTGGATAACTTTGTTATCTTTTATGTCCTGCCACCATTTTGTTTTCCTGTGTATATGTTACTTGATTTGGTCTTAGCACAATAGTACAATGCTTGCAGAGAGATTGCATGGCCCTTCCTGGTCATGTACTGCATCCTTCTTAGCTCTATTTTTAATTTTTCTTTTTGCTTCTACACAGCAGGGGAATGCTACTGGACCAGATGCGATTCTGGTGTGTTTGTTGGAATTCAGGGGTTGAGATGGAAATTATCTTAGTGGAGAGAGAAGATGTGAATTTTTTGACTATGCATTCATTGGGGATATTTTCAGTTTCCCTTGAGGCATACTAAACAGAGGGCAGAACTTGCTCATTGTGTCAGTTTTATTCTTCCTCTTTGCTTAAAAGTGTGCTCATAATAAGCACAAAAATTAATATATGCTAAATGTCCTTGAAGAATTCCTGTGTTCTAGACTATAATTAAATTACTGTATGTAATCTGTTACTAATTCAAAAACATTAGAGTTTGCCAGTTTCAAGACCTCAGGGGTGAGGGGTTTTTCCATAGTGAAGATTCTCATGTGTTGTCTCCCTTCCTGGAGAAAATAGCAGAAAGCTCATGAGGTGTGTGTCAACAGCCATTCTAATGGTGACACACAAGCAGGCATGTGTGCACAGAATTGTTCTGTTCCTTTGTTCAGAGCTCCTCCAAAGGCTTGTGCCGCCCTTTCCCACTCAGGGTCAGTGGTACAGGACTTTATAGTATCTAAACAGCCTGAGTTCACATATGCTTTCTCTGGATCGTTTTTTTTACTGACAGAGAGAGAGAGTGGGGAAAACAAAAGACAGTTTTGCTGTTGGGGAAATTCTGCAGCCATGGCTGATTCTTCCTAAAGAGTGTGAGAGTAATTCACGTAGGGCAATATTTGATTGTTGATTTTAGTAAGTCTTCTTTCCAATTAAATGAAATTGTAACTTTAAAAAAAGTATATTTATATATATACATATAGATGTGTGTGTGTGTTTAGAGAATTGAAAATACTGATGATCAAGTGAGATGGGATTAATAATGTCAAAATTCTGGGAATTAAGTATTCATTTAGTATTTTAATGAGGTGTCAAAATATGAAATGCTTACTTTGCCAATCATGGAAATGCTAGTGTTTATATAGGGATAATGTAAATACTAATTCTTTAGTTCAACTTAGCAATTCTGTTTCTTGATATTTTTTTTTCTTAAATTGCCCATAGAAATGAATACAGTACAGGATTAAATCTGCAAAGAGTACACATGATCTGGCTTTAATTTGGAGAAGATGTATATTAATCGAAGGGAAAAAAGCTATGCCTAGACATCTTTAAATGTCTTGGATTTTTATCTGATTGCATATGTGGCTCAGTATCTTTTTTTTTTTTTTTTTTTTTTCAACCGGGACTGAAAAGTACTATAAATGACAAATGGGAAGCTCTCTGGCAGGACTCAGTAAATACACTGAATGATAGCAGGATGGAAGTGTATGAAAAGCATGCAGCGCTACTAAATATGTTATGTTATTCCTTCTGGCACCTTTTCACACATCTTGCCATTTCTACTTCTTACATGAGTTTTGGAGACTTTTCATTAGCCTTTTCATCAGTGAAGCATGAAGTCTGGAGTCTGGTAAAGGCACAGATACCTGTCTCCAATACCATCACACCCTGCCCTCCAGCTGCCTCCCACATCACAGGGAGGACAAAACTGTCTACCATGGTCACTAACAGGAACAGTTGAAATGCCACTTCAAGGTTCATTTAGTTGCGTTCAGCTCACTGCTGGGAACTGAATGCTGGTTTGAAAATGAAAAGACTTTAATGAGTTGGGGGTCTTTATGGGGCTGGTATTCTTGGCAGTGATTAACAGTAGGGGGTATACAGAAGGTCAAAAGCTCTTCTTTTGAGGGGTCAGCAGAACATCCCTGTCTGATAAGATTAAACTAATGTGGCTTTTCGTGTTAATATCTAAAGCAGCAGGCTGCTGTAATGTGTTTGGGATGGCAGGCATTGGGGGGAAAAAAGGGAAACCGACAAGTGGCGGCTCATTAGAATAGAAAGCATCAGATGATTCTGGCAAGTAATACAAGTCTGTTTTTTTCATATATTTATCCTTTAACTATACAAGCACACATAATTTTAAGAGATTTAAAAAAACTTTGCCACAGACCTACTGACACTGGAAGGATTATTTGTGTATTAAACTGCTCCACAAATACTAGTTTTGTGTTTTAGTAGGATACAATACTTTTTTTCTAATTTGCTTTTTCCTCTGTGCTTCTTATATTTACATAGTGCATTAAATGTGTCTTAGTCATCTGTTTTACTGACCATTACATATGAATTTCAGTTTTCAGATTATTTCACTGGATATTTCAATGGGCAATACTGGCTTTGGTGGATATTTCTTGTACTTGGTAAGTGGCAATTGAATACATTTCTGTTTTGATGTGTAAGTACTCAGAGATGAATCATGTCATTGTAAGTAAGAGTTCTGTAACATGTTTAGCTGTGTGTTTTTCATTAGCTGCTGATGGTTTTGTGTGTTGTTTTTATTTCCACAGTATTTCCAAGGTTGTTGGTTACCCTAGTGGTGTTATTGTGTGGACTATTCAAATAACCTTCAGCTCAAAAAATTTTGTTCAAAGTGGTGATGTGCTTAACTGAAACTTGTAATTTATGCTTTTTGAGCTGCTTGTACTGATCTAGCAGTGCAGAGTTGTGTAATGTAACTTTGGCTTTATGTAGAGAACATACTGAAAAGTGAGTGATATTTAGTGCATACATTTGTAAACCAGTATGTCAGCTATTAAAATTTAAGAAATGTGACTGGTCCTAGGAAGGTGGAGTCTGCTGTCTTGTGCACAGGTCACGAAATGTCCTTTTCAGGTCCTTTGAAATGCATACTGCATCAGTAGTTTCTCAGAAGGATGAGAGAATGGCTTCATGCTTGCTGATCACAGTGCTCCTATGATGTCAGCTTTCTCTTAAGAGGTCTATTTGCCCATGTTCAAAGTCTTATACACATCAAATTATGCTCTTCTCTCTGTTTTTTATTAGGGTATATCAAACCCCAACCACCATACCTTTTCTCCTACTGTGGATTTTGTAATTTGAATATGGAATCTGGAATGATCGTCTTTTACAGAGAGAATGCTACTATCAATTTTATTTTCTATTTCCAGCTCTGGAAGCACAGTAAACTGTTGCAGGTTCAGTAGGTGGCACTCTTCCCTTTGAGTCAATTGACTCAAATGGCTAACAGCAAATGTTAGAATGAAATGTTGACTAAATTAAAAAGAAAACCCCAATAGTGAGATCTTGGCTGTTTGTGACTCACTATCTATCTTGCAAGAAATGTCAAAAGGTTTAAACTATGTTACCTAAAACTTTCCCTATCTGCCTTTTAGTACTGTTTGTGGGCATTTGACAGACTTCCTAATGCTCCCCTTGCTCTACTATTGTGCCCTTGATTGCTTGAAATATATAGAAACTACAAATGTTTAACACATTGCAGCATCAGTCCCTTGAATGCTTTCATATTGTTTGAGGTGACTGTGTTGAAGTAGGACGTGAAATGACTCCTTGCAGGTACAAACATCTCAGAAAAGTCTTTAATTAAAACCAAGCCTTGTGGTGCCTGAGATGGAGGTTTGACACTTTTTTTTTGCTAGAATGAAAATAGTCTGTTCTTCCCCTAACACTTTCCCCCACCATGTCTATGGAAAAAGCTGTAGTTCATTTTCTTGCTAGTCTTTTGCAGCACATATTCATAAAGTAGCTCACTTAAATTTGGGACAGCCTCATTTTGAGTGCAAACTGTTTGAGGATTTTTTTTTTCTTCGAATCACAAAGCTTATAATACATCTTTGAGTAAAAGGCAGTGCGAGGCACACAGTATGCAGCCAGCAGTCAGCATTCCCTTATGCATGAAGTACACCAACAATGTTTTTAAACTGATAAAGTGGGCATACTGAGATTCCCAGAACACCATAGAAGGATTTAACCCAACAAAGCTACTTAGCAGGACATGGAGGAGTATCATCACATCACGGGAACACTGCCAATCAGATCTGTATTTTGTTGTTTTGATTAATGCTCCCATTAGAGCATGCAGAGTAGCATGTCCAGCCAGCATCTCTTCAGAAGTGAACAAACTGAGTTGGATTCTTTCTTTTGCATAGTCTTTTGACATACTTGAACCCACCTACTTCCCTCTCTTCTCTTCTGATGTTCACCTCTCTGTTTCTGCTCTCTTTCATTCTTTCAACATCTGGAAAAGTCTGGTTATGCGTCACAGAAAAGTGAAGTGGTCTACTTCCAAGGAGCTGTCATGTACAGTGAACAAATTGAAGAGAGAGACAATTCTAATTTTTAAATTTAAATGTTAGCCAATGTTTCCTTTTGAGGAACACAATGGAAAGTGGGGTGGGTTTGTTCTTCCCTAAACAGAGAAATATAAAATATGGGTTGAATTTGGACTGGTTTTCCAACATGTGTAGTGCAGAAAATATGCTATCAAGCACCTTATGAGCTGCCTGCTCTCATTTTGCTGTTCCGGCTGCTTTTCAGTTGAGTGTGGGACTCTGTCTGGTAACATCTGAGTAGCAGCTTTTGTAGTAGACTTGTGATCCAGATCTTACTGCTTTCTTCTCTATGGAGAATTCACCTTAATCACAGACATGCATCTGGCTTAGGTAAAGTTCCACTGGTTAGCAGACCATTCTCTGTTGTCGTTTTTTTGTCTGTCTGTCCTAGTGAAGCTTTGGTTTAAAAAAAGCAAGTGGAAAGTTAAAATAAATCACAAGCAAAAAGCATTTAGAGCAGAAATGATGATAGGAAAAAATCATGGGCTCATCCAAGACAGCAGGAAGAAAAAGTGCATCATGTAGGAAAGAGAAAAGAATTAAATCCTTTGCTAAACTTGCTTAACCTCAGTTTAGATTTTCATTTGAATCTTTGGAATCTTAATGCATGTGTCTATATACAGATAAACATGTATCATTGAGGTACCATCGTTGCAAATGTGACTTCTCTGTGACTGTTCTGTATATACTGTTCCTCTTAGCTGAAATATTCTTTCAAATGCAGTTAAGTGTAAATGTTTGAAAAGAATTTGAAATGTGGAATTGATGAAAAGTGTAATCCTAGTACATGTTGAGCAATTCTCTTTGACAATTCTTCCTCCTCTTGGGCAGGTGCTTTTTCCTGGATGTTTTTTTTTTCTCCTTCTTTTGACTTGCAGTATGTTTATCTTACATGTTTCTAAAGGTATATTTTGTGGTTCAGGTAGTCTTAGAACACACTAGTAACTTATTTTAGGAATTCTATTTGAAAAAATGTGCAATATATACTTTTTTTCTGGGTGTTTTTTTTTTTGCTTTTTAAGTATTTTTAAGTATTTTCATGCAGTCTTTTTATCAGATGAATCTTGAACCCAGAATGACTGTAAAATTTCTGAAAAGCCTTGCACAACACTGAATCCTTATATCACAAGAGAAAAGCTGATATGCTTGTTGAATTTGTGAATGATGCATGAAGAACTCACTTTATTTTGTATAATCTAGGTGTTAAAAATTATTTTAATAAGAATAATGTGCGACAGTGTCAAATTATGTTAATATACTTAATTTTGTGCTTTTTCTGCTCTTTCAGGACTCCTCCTGTTCTTTCGAGGCTTTGTTAATTATCTCAAAGTCAGAAATATGTCTGAAAGCATGGCAGCTGCTCACAGAACAAGATTTTTTTTCTTGTACTGAAGGTAAGCAATTTTTAATGATGAGGTTATCTCTCCCAGGAAAATGGGGAAGAATGAAATACTTACATTAAAAATAAATGATCAAAATTCTGTCACAAAGCAGAAGTTGCATGGGTTTTGAGCATCTGTCATGAATATTGTATATATTCTTCATGGGCTTGGAAATACGTGAAGTCTCTTATTTGAAAGTAAATAATTCATCCTTGTTGCCTCCAGTCCTCTCTGGAACTCATGTTCAGTAACAAAAATGAAGAGGAACCTGTTGTTTTTCCTAAGCAAGGAGGAGTATCTGCTGCCTGTCAGGATACTGTCCTTTGGAAAACTGGCTTTAGTAGTCAACCTGTTGTCACCAAGTTAGGAAGCACTAATCTGCCTGCATATGAAATCTGATTGACATGGGTCTGAACATGCAAACAATAGATGAGTATTGCCTCTCTTTACATGACTGGATTAAGACAGTCATGTACAAGTATGATTATTGTGCTTTATGTATCCTTCAGGTAGCTGACTAATCAGTCTGGCACATATCCACCCTTTTAATACTTCTTACCCATGAAGTGGATTTATTGGACTTCACTACGTAACTGAAACCAGGGGTCTCTATTTGTGTTCAACTTCTTGTATTTCAATTGCATGGCAACATAAATTTTAGCCTAGAAATAGATGCTGCAGCTTTTTCATTGCTGTGCACTTAAAATGTTTAAAGACCATATTTTGACTTACCTGAGAAACTGTTTGCTGTAAATAAACAAGTTTTCATCAATTTTCTCCAAGATTTTCACAGGATCAATATGAAGTAACCAGCAACACTTTATTGAAGCCTGAAAAAAATGAGATGGTATTTGCCTAGAAAAAAACAAATGGTGCCTTTTATAAAAGACAGTGATACACATTTAGAAACACCTAATGATAAATATCTGTGCTCTATGACATTATCATGAAAAAAATCTGTTAACTAACATAATATTTCTTTTTAATATGCTATTTTGTAAAAATTTTGTGATGTTAAATAATCGAGGCATAGATTGCCATTTAGTAACCAATCTAAATTGGCAGCTACACTGCAGCATTTCCTTTATGCAGTAGTTACATATTGCTTGTTTTCTTAGCGTTGCGATAATCTGTCCAGAATACCAAAATTTGTAGAGATGAGAATGGAAATATCCATTAGCTTTCAGTAAAATAAAGTTTAAGAATACTGGTTTTAAAACAGTGGTCAGGAATGAATGGTATTTGAGAACTGTAGCTTGAAGAGAATAACGAGAGCGTAGGATAATGTGGTCTGGGGTTCTTTGCTCTTCTGAGGTTAAAATTCTACTTTGGGACAAAACACTTTTAATCCAGCATTACCTGAAGTTAATGAGTTGTCCCATCCGAATTCAGTGGCTTTACATTTTCCTTTAGCTGTAAGCAGCACTGAGATGTATGGGCTGTGGTCTGATAAGGTCTGTGGAGTGTTTGCAGCTCTGGACACATAAATAATTATGTTTTTGAAACATCTTGAGGACTGAAACGAGGAGTTATATAATTGCTATAATGCTAAAATGTCTTTGTTCTTGCACAGACAATTAACTTCTTCTACACTTACTATTAGTTTTAAGAAATAATAAGTAACAGCTCTGTGGTTAGAAAATATTCTCGGGTGTTCTTGGTTCTTTTCTCCCATCCTGATGTGTGGGAGTGGGGAGGCTGCTCTTTTGCTGCTTCTGGGTTGGTCAGTTTGTTGACAGCTCAGGTGTGCTAGTCAGTTAGCAGTGCTACTTTTAGTAAATCATGACAGTGAACTGAAGTGCAACTCTTTCTTTATCTCCAGACTGCATCGAACAGACATTCCTGTCCTATACTGGTGTGAAACTTCCAGATGATCTGTAACCCTCTGAGTTAATATGATAGAAGACTACTAAAACCAGAAGACAAATTAGTGAAGATACGGCTTCAAAAATGAATGACAGGATGGTTTATGCTCAAATACCAGTTCTGGTCATTCTAGTAAATATTTATAATTGCTGCCTTTTGTTTTAGCACATTTGTATATGTGCTTATTAAAAAGATAGTATTGAAGTAAGAACAAACTATCTGTAAGTATAGATTAGGTACAGTCAGACTCAGTTAATCTGTGCTTGTTTTATCTGAAAGATTTAAGTGGTAACTTGTTTCACAGCTTGTATGTACCACTGGCTTGGTGATCTGAACTTTAAGTACAATGAAATGCATTAAATGATTCAGATTAACCAGTTCAGACAGTTTTTTATATAATTTAGATTCATCTAATGATTGTATAGGACATTTTTAAGTTTACTAAACCTCAGAGTTCCTTGTTGTCAGAAACTTGTATTCGCCAATATTTTATCAAATTCAAACGAATCTACTGGTTTGCTTAAAACTGATACACTTTGAGTCCCCTGTAAATAACTCTGCATAAATGACTGTTTGAATTGCTTCTTAGGAAATATGTCAAAATATATTTTGTAACAGCATATTCTCTAAATTTTGTTTAATCTTAGAGCTATATACATATTTTTTGTTAATTGGCTATTAAGGTATAGTTACTATTAGATGTAATTTTGGAGGTTTGCATTCTGGAGTTCAGTATAAATACAACACTGAGGGCTTCTCAAAAAAATCATACAGCTATCTTACAATGCTTGTTTAGAGTAAATACTTTGTCATTTCATAAGAATAAACTAATTTAAATGCAAGGTGATTTGGGAAATAATCTATGAAGGAAAGAAAAAAATAAATCTTACTTTTAAAGCTCCAAAGCAGAAAATGTGTGTTGCACCTCTCCCAGTATTCATTTAAGATATACCATTGCTTTCCTATAAGGGGTACTGTCTACTGTTCGTGCATGTGTAGTTTCCTTTAAACTTTGTGAAATTTATGCATCTCCTTAAGTAGGAGAATACATCTCTCAGTCCTTTGTACAACTGGAATCTCAGTTGCAAAAATACATTAGTTGTTAATTGCACCTTTGAGGAAAAAAATACAAATAATTTCCTCCAGTTTTTCTTTTTATATTAGAATTCTGCCTTTTTATTACTAACATTAAAACTAGTGAGGTTTAATTTGTGTTAAGCTAGTGCTGTATTGAGTTTTGTATCTATAATGAATGTTTAAAATATACATATGTAAACTGGTCACATTATTCTTTTTCCTAATCTTCTGGAAATACTGAAAGTGACTAAAACTTTAGGGGCACCTCCGCTTCTCAGCTTTTTATGGAAAGAAGAAAGTTAAGTATTATGTTCAATATCCAATTGGGATTTCCTTCTAAACCTATATGTTTGTTTCTGTGTTCTTTTGCATTCATTGTCCCAATGAAAAAGAAGCAGATAATAAAGCATTGCTTTGTTTTGCTAATTAAGACTTAACGCTGTTGGGGTTTATTTTGTACTTCCTATTGAAAAATGCACGCTGCAGTATTTGTGTCAACATGGAATTATAGGCAAAGTGCTTGGCAAAATAGGTACTAACCAATCCTCTCTTCTCTTTTTCATCTCATATTTTATGGCAGCTGACTGTTAGGACATTTCATTTAATGAATTAATGCAGCCATGCAGAGCATGCTATATTGATTCGTTTTCTGTGCTTACCAATATCAACTAGTGCTGTTTTCCAACTACATTAATTTTCCCATATTAAGTAGCAGACTTCTGATAGAATTATTTCTGTTGGGTCCACTGCATTTTACAGAAAGCTTCATACAGATACTTGGTGTGCTAACATGGAAAAATCCTCATTTGGACAGAAAGAATATGTAGGGTTAAAAATGTACACATGTTATCTAATCCTCTATAGTTGATGCAGCAGTTTGGAAGCCTGAAATCTCATCAGCAGGAGGAAGGGAACTGGGACACTGTTTTCAAAGACCCTGCAATCTATTCCAGATGTGTCAAATGCTGCATATTTTCCTTGCTATTTCCTGTGAGCTCGGTTAGGAGCAGCTGGCTCTGTGGTTTAGAGACACCTGGCCAGCTTTGCTTTGTGTCTTGGTGGGGGTAGGGGGGGAGAAGCTCCAGTATCACAGTGAAATTGACTGTAAACAGATTTTGTATGAATGCAAATAAGGCTTTGAAGCTTGGGGCAAAAACGGCTGAAGGAAGGGAGGTGGGGAGAGAAAATTCCATTTTATTTGAGCAACTGGCATTATCATAATTTCTCTAGTTTTTGTCATCTTCTTGTTGATGTAGACACAGGAAGTTTGACATCTTGAATATGATTCAGGTAGCCTGTGGGACTTTTATTAACACATTTCAGAAATGATCTCTCACTCACACTTCCAGAGCAGAGGTTGTCTCCAAGCTTCCACTTTGCTATCTCACCTTTAGTATGGACACAGTCCTCATCCTACAACACCTTTTAACCTGATTTCAACACCTGACTCTGTCTCCTCTTCCCTCCCTGTGAACGATGACAACAGATGAGGAAAAGTGGCTTTATTCATGTGTTGCCATAACATCAGGAAGCTTTTAATCTCTCTTCCACTTCTTGAGAATGTTTTCCCATAATACTCTGCATTAGTCCGTCCTGTGTGGTTGCTCACATTGTTCACTTGAGCAAAAGAGTTCATCTCATAAAATTATTACTGCTTCCTGGACTCCTGAAGAGAAGGTGAATAACCTCTGGTATAGAAATAAATATCTCTCAATAAGGAAAGAAATATTCTAATCATGATAAAAAATTATTGGCATATGTATACAGCTACTCAGAAACTGTGGAGTCCAGTAAGTGTATTATTTCTCCCATGTACGTTGTTCTTTTCCATCATCCTGAGATCCTTATGGTTTTTTCTTTATAACTCTGAGTATACTTTTAGCATCTGTATGTTCTCTACTTAGCATATACTTCCCAGTTCCACGTCCCTTTTCCTTTGTCTGTGCACTGGCTATGCATCCTGCAAGAAGAGGTAGAGGGCTGCTCTACTGCATGTTGGCTACAGTTAATAAATAAAGCATCTAGCAATTCTGTATTTTTTTGTCTTCTCTGCAGTGATGGTTTTTATCCTCATACATCCATATTTTACAGGTTAGCCAGCTTTTAAAATCAATGACTTTCAGACAAAATGCTTAAAATATATGACTGTGCCAACCACCTATTGTAAGCATTGTGTGTGCAAGCGGAATTTAAAGAGTGGGAGAATTTGGTTTCGGTATATTTTCCTTTATCTCTTGAAAAGTCTGCGTAGAATCATAGAACCACTTAAGTTGGGAAAGACGTTTAAGACAATCTTGAAATCTTTCTCTGATAAGTAATTGCCTCTTCCCCACCCTCCCAACCCCCCACCCTTTTCAAATGAAATAAAGTCAGCTGACCTGAATTTTTACCTATGGTCTATTTTCTCCTTGAGGAAAGTTGCATGCAGTGAGGCTTAAAAGTGCTGCAAACAACACCAGCTCTCCCGCTAGCTCTTGTCCTTCTTTTGCATGTAAAACAGAATGGTGTATATTCAAAAAAGTTTAAACTGTTTTGGTTCCTTCACACTGAGGAATGGTCACAGTTGTCTCCACATTTTTACTTCCATCCTTGTAGTCTTCACTCTTAATTTTTCTTGTGGTCAAAAATATGTTGTGTTTGTGGGAGTATCCTTGGTGTAATATGAGAAGTTGTTCATTGATTCTTCATTATACGTGACTGCACAGGTGCCTATCCTTCTTAATTTTCTAGGTTGGTGTAGTCCCATGACTTCCAAATGCCCAGTTTCACATGGCAAATGGACTCCTGCTGCCATAAATATTTTGTGACTTAAATAGCTGTAAAGTGTTCTTCACTTGGATACATTCATTAACTGCGTCTTGAAGTTTAATATAATTACAGCAGCATTTTTGGTCAGTCTACTTCTGTTTCTGTTGTATGTAGCTGGCAAGTGCTCTCTCCTGGAATCTGAAGTTTTCGATGTATTTTGCCTGGGTGCTTGAGCAAAGTCTGCAGGTCTTACTGGTGGAAGCATTACTGGAATGAAGCGAGTGCTAATCATCCTGTAATTGGTAGTGTGAGTACCTGTAGGACCATTAGTTACTCCAAGTGGGCCTACAGAATTTGTGGAGAGGTACTTCTTACAAGGGCATATAGTGATAGGACAGACGATAATGGCTTCAAACTGAGAGGAAGTTTCGATTAGAAATTAGAAAGAAATTCTTTACTGTGAGGGTGCTGAGGCACTGGAACAGGTTACCCAGAGAAGCTGTGGCTGCTCCATCCCTAGAAGTGTTCAACGCCAGGTTGGATGGCACTTTATGCAACCTGGTCTAGTGGAAGGTGTGTCTGCCCATGGCAGGAGAGTTGGAGCTAGGCAATCTTTAAGGTCCCGTCCAACTCAAACCATATATGATTCTATGACTCTCTGACTTCTAATTAACTAATTTGACAATATCTGGCAATTTTCATAGAAAGTCTTTATGGGGATTTTTGTCATAAAGGACGACAAGCTGTTTTTGATGGATTAAATTTACCTCTGTACCTCTTGGAACAAGGAGCTTCTGAAGCTAGCACTATCTGTTCACTTCTCTATATACACAGAACAATGGAAATAATTTCTGCAGATTAAATTGATAAGCCATTTATGCCTGAAACATAGAATCAGATCCCATTTAAAAGCTGTTATTTTGAGGATAGTCTGTTGCTGTGGTTAAGCAAAAAAAGGAATTGCTTTTGTAAATATCTATCATGAGTCAGTTGTAGTGTTTCTGTACTTCGGATTCTCAAGTGCTGCTGTTTTTTTCCTGAGATGTCAGGGTTTTGGGGGTTTGGGTTTTGTCTATTTGTTTTGTATGTTGGGTTTTTAGTGGTGGGGGTTTTTTTTGTAGTAAACTTGCTCATTTTTTCCAATTTTGCAGGACATACATTAAGTGCAAGAAACACTGTAGAATCCTGTGGTTATAAAATTCTGTTTAAACATTCAGGAGACTTGAATGTTTCTGAATTCTGACTGTAAGCTGAAATTACATGTTGGACTTGGCAGGTTGTATATGACTGGGCTTAGGTCTCTGCTTAATTCCTCCTTCACAGTGATGGTGAGTGCTGCTATGCAGTGTGCTCTAGATACCTCTTGGGTTCAAGCTGAGATTGCTGTGTATTCAGCAGAGATTTCCTGTGAAGGGAGCAAGAGAAACAAGGGGAGGAGGACTGCCTGGACCTTTAACTCTGGGTTTGCAATAGCTGATGTAGCAGGCGTTTCTGGCAAAATGATGAGAGCATATCAGAGTATAGTCTTAACCCCCTTCTTCCCCAGCTGACCAGATATTTTGTGTACCTATGTAGTCTGTGAAAAAGGCCCTTAGGTTTTCTTTTCTTCCTGGGGACAACTGCAAAAGCAAACTCTGCATCACTTGTACAGGGAGAAGGAGGTCCCAGCTGGCTGCCTACTATGGCACTTGGCCAGCAGTTGTTAGCCTTGCAGGCCTTCTGGGAAATGCCTCTGGATGTTTCCCTGCCTTGCCAGCACGAATGCAATCTGCAGCCCTGTCTTTGATTATACATTCTGCATGGCATATGTAGCCTTCTCAACTTTTTCCACATTGAAATGTACATTAATAAAGAAATCAGTGTTGTCAACTTTGCATTTTGTCACAAATCTTATGATGCTGGGCACTTTTTTCATCGTTTCGTTTAGTGTGGTACCTACACAAGTTTAGGGTTGAGAAAGGTATGTTCCCTCCCAGCATGCTTTTTAATATCTCATAGATGGATGCAATGCATTCATTAACACTTGTTCCTGATCTTGGGTGGACCTCTATAACTACTTGGTGCAGCAGGGTCACTAAGATTTCTGACTGCCTGCTTAGGAATTATCATTTTACTCATAAAATTTGCACATTTTAAAGAAACTGCTGCTTTCTAGAAATGCTATCTATCCAGTAAGAGCAACAGCTATAGGGGGAACATAGACCAGAACAATAATAGTTCTTACTAATAGTGTCTAATAATATATTTTTGAGTGACTGAAAAATTTCAAGTACCATGTTAAATTTTTTATGTTGCAATGGCTTTTTACTTGCTTCTAACTTTGATTTTCACATTTAATGTGAATGGAGGATGTTGACAGCCAAATGGTCAATGTCACAATTCTCAAAGGTGGAGTCTCTTAATTTGGTTGCTCTTAGAG